CCCCCCCTCTTCTTATTCCGATCGACCGACCGCGGCGCCAAATTTCACCATGGTTCCGACGAGCTCACAGTGACGTAACAAGCTCTTCGTACCAAGGCTCCCAAGAGCGAGCAGTCTTTCTAATTAATACCAACAATGTATAAGTTTTGCTTCTTGGGGCCCTCTCGAGAGGTTTCTTGAAGGCCTCTTGGGGCGTCTTGGGGCATCTTGGGCCGTTTGGGGGCCATCGTGGGCGTCTTGGACCGACCGTTCGACGACTCGGGGCCCTTTTCCACCGTCTTGGGAGTCTCCGGGGGCCCTCTTGGCCCGTCTTCGGGCCCTCGTGGCGCCCCAAGAGCCCATGCGACACACCCCGGGCCCGCGCAAGAGCGCGCAAGAGCGCCTGGGGAACCAAGGGCCCGGGCCCTCAAGAACCTCCTTGCAACCCCCCTGCCTCAAACGGCTGCATGGGCCTTGGAGCACTCCACAACGCGCTGAAGACACAGTGGCGGATCTTGGCTAAGCATGCCATCGCGCCCCCCTCGTGGGACCAAGCGCTACAGGTGGCCTGCATAAGAAAACACGCCGTTGAAGCCTCGCAAACCTCTCCCGTCATACTAAAGGTAGCCTTCGGATCGAACCTGGCGCTGTGTCCACACAGCCAGGCTGCTGTTCGCCAGCTCTCCCGTCATGGTCGCTCGCCGGCGTGTCGCAGCCCTCGCGCGCTTCCCCGAAACTACCGCCGGTTGGCGCCATCTCCATGTCCCATTGCCCGCATCCGTGATTGTATGATCTTTGGCACGCGCGCCTCTTGTTCGAACATAGTTCAAAAATAATATGAGGGCGACTTTTCTATTTGATATTTTTGCATATATTTGATTTGATGTTTTCAGCGTTCGGCCCAAACCCGCCTGTAGGGGGACATGCCCGACCTAACGCTGGTCTTGAGAATCTCGGTGCCCGCGGGCTGCCCGGCCAGGGTGCGCCTCCCGCCCCGCGACGCTGGAGCACAGGCTGCAGGGAGTGCGGGGTGGTCGGCGGCCCAGGCACGGGAAAGACCACAACGGCCTCGTCGATCATCGCGGGGTGGTTGAAGACGAACAGGACGGTGTGCTTGCGCCGATGCTTGCGCGCGTGCGTCTCTCTCTCTCTCTCTTTCCAATGCCGTTTCCTCTGTCATCTCCTTTTGTTTCGCACCTGCCCAGTCCAAGAGCGCAGCCGTAGGGCTTGAATGTTTGTCGAGCTGCGTGGATCGATGCGTTGTGACCCTCGTGATGTGGCCGGCCCCGAGCCAGACCAGTGAATCGTCCATGGTAACCTCCGCGAGGCGAGCCTTGAAGAGTTGGGCGAAACAAGCGGGATCCTTGCGAACTTTTCCCCTTCTCCGTTCCCGCGGACGGTTGGCAGCGTCCACATGTACAGTGGTTCACGCGGGGATCAGCGAGGCAAAGGAGATTGTCTCAACCTTTTTACTGCGCACACTTGAGGCGTAATACGCGAGTTTCCTCCGACTGTGCTCCTGCGGTGATTTGGGGTCCAGTTCAAGTGGAAATCGGCAGGGCATGACAGCGCGCAAAGTAGGCGTGGCACAGCACCACCTAGAAGGTCATGGCATTTCAGCTTTGTTTACATAGCGTACCAGAGCGCACAGCGGCATCAACTCTAGCATAGCATTTCGTTGTATGGCACGGCCTGGCAGAGTATTATTTAAGACCAGAAGCCGATGGTGATACTTTCCCACCGTAGCATAACATAACATTACATAACATAGGGTTGCGTGGCAAGGCCAAGCATCACATGGTATGGAATGATACCCTAAGCAAGCAATACCACACCATACCATGCCATACCAACACAGCGAGATGATGCACAGCGCAGCGTAGCACTACGCCGAGACGGCATGCATTTTAGCTTAACGTTCTGCGCTGCCTGTGTTGCGGGTAACGCGCAGGGCAACACGTGATTATGTCTGTGCAAGCACTGCCATCGCATACCAATGAAGTAAAGCATAATCCCCATCCCTATCAGCATACACCTTGGTACACCATAGCATTGAACAGCATACCACGCCATGCTACTTGTACATCATGGACACATCATACCACAGCACATTTGATTAGAGTTAGCACAACACGTCGTATCATAGTTGTTCATTCCATATGTCGCATAAACGGATACAACGTTTCACTAGCAAGCCAATGCCAGCATAACAGTGGCTCTTCACTATTGATCGCAGCGTAACGTCGCATAAGACATCATGCGCACAGCATTGGTGTAGTATGCCATTTCGCTGTCATCTGATAGCGCATCATATTATGGTATTCGTATACAGCAGACCGGTTACAGCGTAACACAACATTGCATAGCACTGGCGCTGCGCAGCATGAGCAAACCTTGCTATCGCCTCAGCGCAGCACGGCACAGCATAGTCTAGAACAGAGTGGCACAGCATACTACTCAACACAATTGTTTGGCCTGCTTTCTTGTCACGAGGAACCAGCTGGACATGATACCACTGAGAGCGTCTACCTTCCCAAAGCAAGCCGGGAGGGACGCGCGAGGGCTGGATGGCCGAGGTGGCAATAAACGTTGGAGGAAAAACAACAGACCCATATGAAAGCCGAGTCGCCAGTCCCCTCCGAAAGCCCGAGGCAGACTGCCTCCTTGGGCCATGCAGCTTTCCTGCTTTTCTCTCCGGCGTTCCGCGGCGAGCCATTTTGGCTCAGGCTGAGGTTGCTATACGTTCCTCTTTTCCGACGTTCGTCTTGCGCAGGGACTCCAGCATTTCAAGGGCGGGGTATCCTTCTGCCGGTTTGCCCAGTCGGAGGCATTCAAGTGGAGGGTCAGACATCAATTTTGAGGTCATACGGTCCTTGGGGCTCGAAACAGCGACGATATGCTTTCTGCGCGTAGGTCAATGCGCCTGGCTGTCTTTGCCAGTTTGGTTGGATTTGGCGCCACCACGCTGACCACAACCACGGAGACGATCACCACCACGCTGACCACAACCACGGAGACAAGCACCACCACGCTGACCACAACCACGGAGACGAGCACCACCACGCTGGCCACCACGGAGACGAGCACCACCACGCTGGCCACCACGGAGACGAGCACCACCACGCTCACGACTACCACGGAGACGAGCACCGCCACGCTGACCACCACGGAGACGAGTACCACCACGCTAACGACTACCACGGAGACGAGCACGACCGTTGCCACCAGCACCACCTCGTCTTCCAGCATCTCGGTGCCACTGACAAACACTATGGCATCTTCCAGTCCAGCGGTCGTGAGCCAGACGACCACCAGCGCCCTCACCAGCCCCACTGAGTCCAGCACGAGCCTGGCCAGTACCACAGATGATATAAGCACGCAAACCAGCGCGACTTTGTCTTTGACCAGCACAACGGAGACCAGCGCCACAGAGTCTAGCACCACAACTCTGACCAGCACGACGGAGGTCAGCGCCACGGAGTCCAGCACCACAACTCTGACCAGCACGACGGAGGCCAGCGTCACGGAGTCCAGCACCATAACTCTGACCAGCACCACGGATACCAGCATCACGGAGTCTAGCACCACGACTCTGACCACCACCAGAGAGACCAGCACAACTCTGCACCAACCGACCGTGACACGAGTCTCCACAGAGAGTACCATCACGGACTCTAGCACAACTTTGGCCGGTGCCACGACGGTCAGCTCAACTGCCGCAGCCGACGACACGGTGATGGTCGCCGCCGCCAGAGTGGAGGGCTCCCTCACGCTGTCCGTTGCGGACGACGCCGCTGCCGAGGACATTGGGGCGCCAGGGCATCCGCACTGTTTCCCCCCCCTCCCCCAGACAGCCAACCCGCAGAGCAAGGATGAGCAACCTTCCCATGGGTACCCTTGCATCCTTGCCCCTTCGGCCCGTCCTTGTCGGCTTTCGTTGGCCAGCCTTGTTCGACGAACGTTCACGTGAGCCTCCGAGCCCTCGGGATCCCTGCCGCGCATCCTTATGATGCGGGCCGACGGTATCTCTCACGTCCAAGCGGTAGCCCCAGAGGAGGGGCGGCAGAAGGGAGGCCGGCGCGACTTTGAGGGGAGGGGAGTGGCTCAGACTGCCGACGGGGAGGCCCAGGTTTAGGTCGGGCATATCCCCCTACAAGGGGATTGTGGACAGAAAACTAAGATGCCTACCCCCAAAATGCCCCCAAATGGCAAACAAATGCTCGAAAAGTCGTCCCCAGGGGGGGGGAAATCACGATCAGAGCTCCCGGCATTTGTTTGTGTGGGTGATGTCAGTCTGCGGGTTCGATCCGTGATGGGGGCACGAACTGGGGGGGCGAACTTCCGTCGTGATGATAGACGAGACGCCCGGACATCAGCGGGAGGGGGGTTCCTCGATGGCCCCAGGGGCACATGGAAGTAGTGGGACACCTTGCGAAGGTCAGGACCGACAACGAACTTGCCACTGGAGCTATTCCAGCAGCATTTTCGTCGCACGCGCCTGCTGTAAGGCGGGAGGGATGGGGGAGGCGGAGCACGAGTGCTGAATGTACCCCATAGGAGCTGGTTGCCGACGAGGGCGTCGCCAAGGGCTGGCGGCAGGCCATCGTGGGCAGTGCTGGCATTTCGCCCGAACGGGTGGGACGGAGGAGGGGGACTTGGCGGCCTGGTGCGAACGGGGAGGAGGCAGAAGGACAAGGGATGTGCAAGCGTGGCACAGGGAGCGGGAGGAGGGCGAGCATGGGCAGTGGCGGTGCCAGGGGGTGGAAGCCACGATCGCCTCCCTTCGTCCACGCAACCTGCAGCGCGCGGCCTCGGCCCGCCCCCCCATGAACCAGTCCACAGGGCTGCCGGTGGGCCTCCTGCGAGTGAGCATGAGCAAAGCCCCGTGCATGCTCGCGTGGCCACTGTGATGACGGGGACGGCGGTGTCGATGCTCCCAGCAGGTCGCGACACGAGCACATCCCCAGAGCGAGCGTTTTCGCTCTCGGGCCTGGGCATGGTGCCTTCGGCTCTTGCGCCAGCGCGCGTGAGATAAACCTTGGCGGATCCAATAAAATTGGTGTGGTGTGCAGCCGAAGTTGGTTTGAAAGTGTGCCACGATTGATCATATTCCCCTCCGTGCGGATCCGATTTCGGATGTTGTGGATATGATGTTCGTTTTGTTGCTTCACACGGACCCAATCCATACGCTGTTTAAAACCTGTATCATTAGATGAATCAGCTGACAGACGAGAATCGGATCCGCGGCATCTAAGCCCGCCGCTGTTAAGATTCTACGTGGACAGGGGGTTTGGTTACGAATTGTCACAGACAGGTCGCGCGTTGTTCCACGGGATCCACCAATCCTCTCCGAACGCGGCTTGCACCAAACATGGATACATCTCTCCTCACCCTCGGCTGCTACATGCATTTTGCCCAGACGCTGTGCGTTTGGCGGCGCCGATGCTCTCTCGCCAACCGTTTGTTGTCGCTGGCGCCTCAAGAGGAACATCTTTGGTCCTGCGTGAGTATTGTTTCTTTATATTGGCCGATTGCCAGCCTTGGCATAATATCGCCATGGGTGTGTCGCCGTTGGCTGACGAGCAATTGGAACCCTCGTTCATCGGAATTTGAAGGAATAGTGTGGGCATCATCGAGGCAGGCTGGAGCGTTTCCGGCGCCAGCAAAATACAGTTACCCATTCTTTAGCAGACCATGCTATGAAGAAGGGCCACACTTGGTCCAAAACGCTCCCGTGGCCAATTGCATACGTTCCTGTCAGACGCTGCAACGCACTGGTGTTTTCAGATCGCCGCGCTCGCGCAGGATCCTGTTCCTC